TTATTTGTCTTTTGAGCAGTCCACAGTATTGACAGAACTTTCCTCCAGCACCACATTTCAAATGAGTTGATTTTCTTCGTATCAGCTTTCTCCACTGTCCACCTTTTAAAACCATTCATACATAAAAATATGAAAGCATGGTCAATTCTGACATTGGTGTTCAATGATATATCTTTACACCTGAAGACACTGCTGCTGCTGCTATTGTTGTGTGCCTTCAAGTTGTTTCCAACTTATGATGACCCAAAAGTCATGATGGTCTTGGTAAGAGTTGGTCAGAGGAGATTGCCATTGCCTTCCCCTGAGAGCATGTGATTTGCCCAAGGTCATTGAATGGGTTTCATGGCCAAGCTGGGAATCGAACTCTGGTCTCCAGAGTCATAGTCCAACACTCAAACCACTATACCACACTAGGTCTCCCTGAGGACATCACATTAGTGCAAAAATAACTGCACATTTTGTCCTCAAAGGTTTGTATTCCCAGTGCAGCCAATCCTTTTGCAAGGCCACATGCAGCCCTTTCTCTCCTTTTTAACTGGATGGATAGAGCTAATGGGTCTTTGCACAATGAGTGTGATCAAAATTTTGTTGCCCACTACTTGGGAACCAATGTAATTGTTCTGGTGTATGCTTAGCCACAATGATTGAATGGAGGCTATTATACTTTAGACATGACATGAATGGCATGACTCATTGGAAAAGATGATAATGCTGGAAAAAGGAGGAGATAGTAGGAAAAGAAGAAGACCACAGTGCAGATACATCTACTCAGTGAAGGAAGCCATGGCTGCTCTGAGTTTGCAAGAGATGATGGGGGCTCTTGGAGTGCTCTCATTTCTAGTTTCATCATAAGTCAAGTTAAACCCTGGCCTCGGAGGGAAAGAAGAACTGGCAGTATCTTCAAGACCTGATCCCATTCCCCATTGCCATTCCCTTCTTCTTTTGTGTCATATCTTTTTTTAGATTGTAAGCCTGAGGGCAAGGAACTGTCTAATTAACAATCTGTAAGCCACTCTGAGAGCCTTTGTGGCAGAAGAGCGAGGTATAAATATTCAAATGAAAATAAATGAAATGAATGTTGCATTAGATATGTATACAATCAAGGTCATGCAAATGCTTCTACTAGCACCTAATCAGCCATGGCTGAGATCCTATACTGGAACTGCATAGCATAATTCCCTCCATGTGGAGTTATGTATTACTTGTGCTGTGCATTTCTGTTGACTGGTAAAGTTGAATGCATACCCAAATGTGCAATTGAATGCACAATCAAGTGTGCATGTGCATCTACATATGCATGAACAAAGGTGCCTTACATGTCTCATACACAAACATGTACATAACTGGGCCATGTATAT